TCTGTATTATTCCACCCTTGATATTACATATTCTACTTGCTATTATTCATCTATTTATTATAGTATTATACATATAATTTATTCTATTATAAATCTATTATATACTGTTGTACTCACTTTTTATATTATTCACTTTACTACAACTTGTACTACATATACTTTTTAATATTACATATCACTATTACTGTGCGCTGTATCAGTGCATAATATTTTACCACTGAAACTGTAAGTTTTACTGGATCCATAAAGGATTATCAGTTGCATTTGTTATTGTTTGTTGTGGAGATTATATCTGTGTAGAGTGCTATCAAAATAAAAAGCAGACTACCAAGAGTCACTTTTTGATTTCTATTCGCTGGTTTTATTCAATGTTCTCAATTATGGAAAATTATTAGTGCTTAAAGATGTATTATTTCGATTTTCTTCCAGTATTTCAAAGGGAATGAGCTGTGTTCTGACCTGAAGCACAAGAAAAGCTAAAATGTTGGGGTTGATGACAGAGAAAGCAATGAAACAACTTAATTGCATTTAATGTACATTCAAATTACAAAACATGTATATGTCACAGTTATACTACATTAACATTAGAAATGTAACCCGAAAAAATCAATCAAATCAACAAGTGAGACAAGTGAGAGCTTTCACAATTTGATGGTAAATTATTAGTGCTTAAATATGTATTATTTTTATTTTCTTCCAGTATTTCAAAGGGAATGAGCTTTGTTCTGACCTGAAGCACAAGAAAAGCTCAAATGTTGGGGTTGATGACAGAGAAAGCAATGAAACAACTTAATTTAATTTAATGTACATTCAAATTATACTACATTAACATTAGAATTGTAAACCAAAAAAATCAATCAATTCAACAAGTGAGACAAATGTGGACAAATTATTAACTAAATAACTGGAGGCAGAGTTATTTTTAACTCCATGTAGATCACAAACCTCTGAAATCGGTTGATAAATGTAAACGTTATCGTGTTTTTATCCAGAAAAAAACGCAGCTCCTCCGTTTACCTCCATTTATTTTTAAGGCAGTCTTGCCTTCACAAACATGGCGGACGCGGTGACGTATCACAGCAACGGCTCAAAGCGGCCAATGAGGTGTCTAGGTATTTATTATGTCTATGGTTTCGTGAACCTGTTTTGTTCAACCGATACAGTGTAAAGATCCGACTCAAAAGAACGATTCGCTGAGGACTCGGACATCGCTGAGCGTTAAAGCGAGTCCAGCTAGAGCGGTCAACGACCATTTCTCTCCCAGATCCACTTTCTGTCTCGGCTCTCGTGGATGTGAACACAGAAAGTGATTGGCAGCAAAGGTGAGTTGGATGTGAGCGCAAAGGTGATTTCAGTCCAGCGGTGCAGTGTGGTCGGTGATGCTTTTATATTGTGTGCTTATGGTGGTTTGGAAGGGAAGTTGTAGTGTGTGCTGAGAAACACATATGTGGCCTGGCGTTCGTTGTACTCCGATTTGCAAGTTAATAAGTCGACCTCACAGAAACACACCTTGTTTAGACGTATATGTGTGCACAGCGGCTCTTCACTAACAGCCTTTTTTCCTGCAGTTTTATTCTGGTCCCAAGCGGTTGATGTGTTTCGCGTCTGACGTGGCGCTCGTTTGCTGCCTGTTTAAATAACCAACACACCGCAGCTACATTCATCTGTAAAATAACCGCACGCTGTTGTAGGAATGTGGAAAGCATATGAAATGTGTTGTGGCTCAACTGTATGACCTGACGTGAGAAGAAGGTGCTATCTAAAATATTATGGAAATAGCATTGGCACAGTGATGGTGTCAGATGGTAGTATTATGAATCTTTGATATACAGCGTTGCTAAATCATTACCATAGATATGTACCATGATATTCACATGCCACTGTGAAGTACTACAATTGGAAATATATCAGCTTCCTGTATTCTGTTAATTGGCTTAATCTTGTTATTCACGGTACTTTTATTCTATTTTTGATGATACAACTCTCAATTCTGCGTATCACTTATAGTCAGTGTTGGGGGTAACGCATTACAAGTAACGTGAGTTACGTAATCAGATTACTTTTTTCAAGTAACGCATTACTTTTTAATTTACAAGAGAATATCTGGGTTACTTTTTCAAATAAGTAACGCGTTACTTTTTTTCCAATTTATTGACTGACAGCTCTCCTGTCCCCATGTTGACAGAGATCAGAAGATGTTACTGTAGTTAATAAATATGAATATGCATTAATTCATCTCACTCACAAAAAAAAAACACAGACTCAGTATTCCTCAAAATGAATAAAATAATGCAACTCAGAATATGACGCAAACCTGCAATAATTAAATGTTAAACAACACAAATATCCTTTATGTATATAATCCCATTCTATTAAGCAATGTCTTTGCTTCTGACCTTCGATGATCCAGTTCAACCGTACTAAT